GGACAGAAGTGGGCGAAAAGTGACGCAGAACAACTTTCTACCTTTTCTTGAAATAGAAAGTTGATACTTAAAGTCAAATATCTCAAGAACTAAATAAGATATCAAAAATCCGAAAACGGCATCGTGATCAGCGCATCTGAATTGACCGGAAACGACACCTCGAGCACCCAAATCGGTCCGCGGAGTGCTGAGAAATATACTTTGAAGGGTTAAAGACAAATTTCTGAAATTTTGGACTAAAATTGGCCATAGTAGGTGTCTGCACGGTCGGAGCGGATGCCTCATCGGGCCAAATCGTTCAGAATGGACCCTAGAACAAACGTGCAAAGTATGAAAAGATAGTCATTTCGTGCAGTATTCTGGCGTTTTACCGTCCAAAGCCAACGGCCGGCGCATCTCGCCGCCGCGTGCTGCTGTCGCGGCCGCTGCTGTGGACGCCGCCGCCCGAGATGCAGCATCACCGCCGCGGGCTGCCGGCGGACGCCCCTCCCAGGCGCCGCGCCGCCCCACCCGGACTTCACGCCGCCCCCCTGCTGAGCGGCGTGCTGTACACCGGGCCGAGCCTCAGCCGTCTCAGCGACCTGCCCGGAAGCGACGCGACCGCTGCGGCAACTGCCGGAGCACTGATGGGCATGGCGTCCTCACCTGCCCCCGGCCGCTGCGTGCTTCCACCCGGAGGGCGTGCAACAAGAAGATTCACCTTCAAATTCGTTTCCGAGGACGGTTTTGAGTTTGGACTTGGTTGGTCAGTTGTTGCTTTTTTGAGTGTCTTTTGTTTTAAGTGTCTCTTTGAGTGTCTCTTGTTTAAAATTCGTTAGTGGACAGCAAATATATTGCTATTGAAAGCAGAGTGAGGTTTGATCTTTTCACACAATGACGTACAACGGCGCGTGGGAAGCATCTTTTATTCTAAATAGCCAGACCATCGAGTATCATGTTGCAAAATTGGGCCTCCTCCTTATCACGCCGGCGGCAGCTACAGTCCACCAGGTGGGTGACCCGGCCGGGGCAGCCTGGATGCAGCCCCCGCGCCAGACAGACGACGTCTGGAGAGAACTCCTCCGCGAGGACGTGGTAGACCTTGAGCTGCAGGCCTACGGTCCACCCCCGGTTGATGGCAAATTCCTTGCACCCTTTGCAAATCTGCGTCTCACCAAGGATATGTCCCGAGTCCACCAAGCACGTCACAGGCGTCCCGTTGACGAGGCACGAAATCTGGGGAGAACCTGGGGCGGCCACACAAGAGTCCAGGGGGGGGGGTCAGCTCAGGTTAGGACCCGTCGCTAGAGGGGGCCACAAATGCAGGATTTTTGAATTTGAATGCGTTCCGGGTGTCAAACGGTCACATTTGGTCGGTAAATGCTGAAAATTAAGACCCCGACAATGTGCGACTTACCATGGTGGTGCCCCAAGGACCCCAAATGGGGCTCTAGGGGCCTAACTAAAAAAGTTGAAAATCGCGAAAGTAACATCGGATTTGGGGTTAACTCGACATTCTCATGCCTTTTTCTCTCGGTCAGTTTTGCCGTATCTCTTATAGTTTCTGAGATATTAGCAAATTTGTACAATTTTCCGAGCATTTTACATAGACATTATGAAAATCGCCTCCAGACACCTCAAATTCGATTCAAATTTATCAAACTATAGCTCATTTTGATCAACATGACGAACTCAAGGAGATAAAATTGTGCCGGAGTCGCTACGACGTCTCTGTCAGATTTCAGGTCTTCAATTTTTAAGCAATTTTACGCTATTTTAGGTAATTACAAAAATTCGGAGCAGGCGTAAATAAAGGCCTATCTTTTCGGGCATAATTTTATCTGATTGAGTTTGTCGTGCTGATCAAAATGAGCTATAGTTTGATAAATTTGACTCGAATTTGAGGTGTCTGGAGGCGATTTTCGTAATGTCTATGTAAAATGCTCAGAAAATTGTACAAATTTGCTAATATCTCAGAAACTATAAGAGATACGGCAAAACTGACCGAGAGAAAAATGCATTAGAATGTCGAGTTTACCCCAAATCCGATGTTACTTTCGCGATTTTCAACTTTTTTAGTTAGGCCCCTAGAGCCCCATTTGGGGTCCTTGGGGCACCACCATGGTAAGTCGCACATTGTCGGGGTCTTAATTTTCAGCATTTACCGACCAAATGTGACCGTTTGACACCCGGAACGCATTCAAATTCAAAAATCCTGCATTTGTGGCCCCCTCTAACCCGTCGCGGCACCAGAGGCGGAGCTGGAACTGGCGCCGGCTTCCGCGCTGGTCATTTCCACCAGCCTGTTGACGGCTGCGACGATGCTGTCCAGGCGGGAGTCCAGCACGGGCTGCGCATTGCTGCCCGTCTCCACACCGCTCGCCGTCGCCGCCCGCGCCCGCTTGTGCTGGTCGTCGTTCTGCGGGTCGTACAGGCCGGCCCACGCGATGGCGTCCGCCAGCGACGCGAAGGGAAGGCGCTGCGCGTCCCGTCGCAGCGTATCATCACGCAGCCCATCTACAAAGTAGTGCACTACCTGTGCTGGGTCCCGTGCCATGTCCCCGGGCTGCATCCGGTTCAGCGTCTGCAGGCGCATCCCAAACGCATGCGCCGACTCCTTGGCCTGCTGGCGGCAGGAGCGGAAGGCGACCGCGGCGTGGAAGGGGGTACGTCGCTTCGCGAAGGCCTCCATGAAGGCGGCCGACAGCCGCTGGAAGCTCGTTTTGTCCTCGCGGGGCAGCGTCGTGTGGTAGGAGCGAGCCGCTCCCGTGATGCAGGCCGCCAGCGCTGCAATTTGGGCCTGCTCGTCATGGCCCCACAAAATGGCGCTGCACTGCTCGGCGTGCTCCGCGTAGTCCCAAGACCCATCGTAAGGCGGTAGCTTGGGGGGCGGCGGCGGGCGTCCGAAGGGAACAGCGAGGGGAAGTGTGACGGCGGACGGCAGGGCGTGCGGGACGGTGAAGTGCTGTTGGGCCGCGAACTGTCCGGCCGAGGGTCCGGCAGGCAGCGGCGAGGCGACGGCGGCAGCAGGCTGCCCGGACGGTGGCCGGGACGACTGCGCGGGAGCTGTCGGTCCGGAGACCAGCCCGCTAACAGAAGGCACAGATTGCACCTTGGTCGCCTCAAAGTACGACGTCATGCTGGCGTGGGACGCCACCAGAGCACGGATAAGAAGCCGCATCTCAGCATCGCCTCCCGCGCCATCAGGGGGGTGGGACGCGGGTGCTCCCGCAGGAAGGGGCGGCTGCTCGCCGGTGCCCGGCCGCGACACAGGGAATGGCGGCTGCACGGGCGGCGGCGGCGGCGGGCCAAACAGCTGGTGCGGAAGCAAGAGCTCGGTCGTCCCCGGCGGCGGCAGCGCGGGGCCTGCCACACCGGGTGCAAACCTTAGGGGGGCAGGGCTAGCTGCTGCGGGGGGCGCAGGAGCGCTGGGCCGCCGTCGATGGACACGCCGCGAACGGCGGGCAGGGCCGGCTCCTGAGGCCGAGTCGACTCCACTCTCCATCCCGCTC